ATATATATATATATATATATATATATGGTTAATGGTTGTACGAACTGAACTGATTTAGTAGTTTGACGCTACCTGAAAATGCACATGGATCTTCTCAATATGATTTGTGCTTGTTTCAAACTAGGATAGTAGGGGCTGAGTAGCGTGACTTGTTGTCACAGGCACACACTAGCTGGTTGTACCTAGGTTCAAACCCCATTTTTGTCTACCCATTTTTCAAGGAGAAGGTCTTCTTGTCCTCTGGTTTCAGCCTTCATATGTCCTGCCGGGACCTTATTCCGTTCGTCACTCGTTGGTTTAAGAGTCCCGTTTTCTGCAACCACAAAGTTGGTTTTCAGGCATATGAGGTTCAGACTTCTGCTGTAGGCTTGCCTCACGCATATATATATTCAAATGGCATCTGAATGTCCGGACCAACTTCACCTGAAAGCACACACCTGGTCTTACGATTGTTTCCTCCCGTCCGATACACCTCTCCGTTGGTCTGGCTTTCGGTTATTCATATACTTGTTTTTTAAACACGTATTTTTTACTCTAATTTTCAGTTCTAGGCATATTTGTTTGAAAATCTTCAAGTAACAAATGCAATGAGCCGATTGCTTTAGACTTCTTTGTCTCTATCGGGCAAATGTGAGCCATCTATAAAGGCGTCCTAAATAGTGTCAGATTTGTAAGAACACGGTACATTGCTTTTCTTTCGAATTCCTCAACGAGTTGCTCTAGAATTCGAACTATTAGGCAGGATACTGCACTATTTCGTGTCTCACGACAGGTTTGTCAGCTTTGGTTCGACGGTTTTGGTTACCAAGAAACAGTAACTAAAACTGCCGCACGGAAGTGCATGGTTAATGGTTGTGATAACTGAAGTGAACTTGGCCGAAAAAAGTGATTCATCTATCTATTCATTCGTCATATGACCTGTGAGGCCTTGGAGAAGTTTACGATGGAGTTAGCAAAATCCCTAACTAATAGCCCCGATCTCACTGCACTTGAACGTCTATTATCTGTACTCTAGAGAAAAGTTAACTAACTTACATCTATGCATCAACCCACAGTTTTCTAAAATAACACTGGACTCTGTGGCTATTGCTGATACCAAAGTTAGTGAACCCTCGTCTAGTTTCGTTGGACGAGCTTCCTGATGCAACGCGCACCTAGGGGTGAATCGAAGTCCCACTGCAATACGCTGTTGACAATCCGTAGTTTTTGGTTTTACAATACCTACTTTTGATTTGAAAATCTGTGGATTGAAACCCCTGCGTTTCACCTTCAATGCTAATCTTAGGTGCGTAATACAAAACTGCTTAACGAAAGCTCACATCAGAAAATTGATGAATTCAATACCTAGAAGGCAGGTATACGGTAACTTTTTTAATTTACCCTTTATCACCTTTATCTCGTATTTACGTTAGCGGTTTCGCTTCTGACGGATTCAGAAGAAACTAAAAACTGTTTGTCTTCGATTGTTGTAATGAATGGTTTGAACTCCTTTCTATAATATGTTCTTTGGTTTCTCTTAAATTATTAACACCTATCTTTACCGATCACTGGAATGTTCTAGCGGAAACTGGTCAACCCGTCTCCCAACCGTTTCGAACATTTGGTCACCCAAATGAAATGGCGACTCAATGAGGGTGGCGGAGAAGCTATCTATCGACTTGGTGTGGACGACGACGGTCGAATTAGTGGGTTGGAACCGAAAGAGCTTGCCTACTCGTTGACAACACTGCAACGGATGGCCAAACGTTTGAATGCCACTCTGCATCCATTACGCGAACGAACGATAAGCGAGTCGAATTACGATCTTACAAAATCACGCAATGAAACCTCGACGAATCCCAGAGCACGAAAAGCCGTGGAATTATTAGTGCGTCAATCTCCATCGAATAATCGGGGAGTAAGTGTCCTTCGATTTCCACACCCTCTCCTTTCCATGACATTATGACGATTGATGATATTGAATTGTTGTTCCCAGTGGAGTTCATTGTTCTTGTTTTTCCTAACCAGGCAAGAGTAGATCGACCATTTGCTTGATTAAAGAAGTTAGCATGCACACCGGTAACCCTGTTTTCTTCGGAACGCTATGCTTAAGGCCACTTGGTATTTGCTCAAAGTTGTAATGTTGATGTACAACCAGGTAGATACTTTGGTCTTCTTGTCAAGCACCGATCTGACTTATTATTATTATACAAAAATTATACAAAATGTTTGCAATCATGTATCGTTGTTTATTCATCACCATGAAATTCGGCTGAATTCTCCGGGCCCGAAAACCACACGCTTTCCTCTCGTGCAA